CCGGAGTATTAGGGATGAAAAATGGGTTCGGATAAAAAATGGGTCATTTTTTATGTCTTATATATTGTGTCAAGTTATAGAGAAACAGCTGTGAACTGTCTGTAAGAAATGAAATAGCTCAGTTATATATAACGATGTATACATCGATAGGTAAAATTACCATGTAATGAGATGATGATAAAAGTGAAACATTTCACTGGTTACAAGTAATTTCTTTGCGATTTCGCTACATTAAATGGTTTCAATGAGTCAAAAACGTTACTATATAGTAATTTTTTAAAATATAATTCTTAATTATTATTGAAAAAAATAACTATAGAGATTTTTAGCTTGATTCCCCATACAAAGTTTCATCCCTATTTTCACCCCCTTAAGGGATGATTTCCGGGATAAAAAGTATCCTATGTCCTTCCTAGGGTCTCAAACTATCTTCTTACCAAATTTTATCTAAATCGGTTCAGTAGATCCAGAGATTACCTCCTACAACGTCACAAACACAAACTCACAATTCATAAACTTTACCTCTATAATATTAATATAATATACTCTATTAGTATATATAAAACCAATTCGTCATTGTCACTAATTGTAACCAGACACCAAAGGAACAACTTCTTAACCTATAGAAAGATATAAACTTTTAAATATAGGATTTTACTTAATAAGTAGGTACAAACCATTTTAGATTTACGTACATGTTTTACTGCTTTACCTTCGCTGTGCTTGGGTGCCAGTGAAAGTGCCGTCAAAATAGGTCAAGCCGTATCGGAGTTTAACTGGAACAAACAGACAGATAGACAAACATTTCTTTTTAAATTGTTTCTTTGTTATAAGTACGTATACATTTGATATGAATTTAGTAAGAAGCTATTATTTTGACATTACAAACAGACACTTAAATTTTATTTATCTTTATAGATATTTAAAAAGAAACGTATTTTTACGCGGTTTTATTTTGATTTTTAACCGACTTCCAAAATGGAGGAGGTTATCAATGCGTCTGAATCTTTTTTTTTTCTTTTTTTTATGTATGTACACCGATTACTCGAAGACACCTGAACCGATTTGGAATTTTTTTTGTTTCAAAGGGTATACTTCCCAGGTGGTCCCATATAAATTTTATCGAAATCGGTCCAGCCGTTTTTAAAAAAAATGAGCAATAAATACATTTTTTAAATAAATTGTTTAGTCGAATATGTTATTAAAAAACTTCCTTCTTACAAATTACATGCTTATTACGTCTAGACTAAAAATGGAAAAATAAAAACTTAAAAAAAAACCGACTTCCAGGCACTAAAATGTAAAAAATAACTAAACGGAGGTTTTCTTTTAGAATAGACACTTATTCAGATATTTTCGACGTCGGTGCCAGCCGACAATATTTTAAGATATGAACATCTAATAGGTAAATATATACTCGTATTTTACGTATCGAAATATATTACATTTGCTTTGCATCGGCTGGCACCGACTTCGAAAATATCCATCCGATTAGGTATCTATTCTAAATGAAAACCTCCGTTTAGTTATTTTTTACATTTTAGTGCCTGGAAGACGGTTTTTTTAAGTTTTTTTGATGTCTGCGTTTCTAATAAATAGATTTTATTTAACAGACAGACGGTTATAAGTTAGATAGGTGCTATAAAAAAATGAAAATAACTGTGACAACTTATAGTTTCGCTATAGAAATTAAACGCGTTGCTTAAAAGCGCTTTTCTTATTTTCTCTCTCGAGTAACAAGTATCATTATCTCGACGCAAGTATTGTGACTTGCAAAGAAATGTAGCGACAGAAAAAACAGTAACAAAAATTAAATTAATAATTCAAAAATTTGCAGTATAAATATTAATTAACTTATTGTCAGTTGTAATGATTATTTAAATAAAGTACATTTTTTAAATTTTCCAATGATTAGATACTTTTGTTATTTCAATTAAAAAAAAATGTTTTTATAATATTTAATATTTTATCTGTTAATAAAAATTATGAATACTGTAAAATAATATATAAAAGGTTCTATTAAGATTCTTATATGTGAATGCTTTTGCCGTAATTATCTACTCTAAGAAATAGGTAAGTAGGTATGTGAAGAAAGTGTTTATTTACAAAATGTCGGACGTACACACTTTAAGGTTACACGTTTGTTGACTTATTGACACATATTCATGCTCATTTGCTTTTCTATTATAAAAGTGTTAATGTTATTTTACATTTTACCTAATTTAAAATGAATTAGACTTAAGATGAATGAAACAAGAAGAATGAAAGAGAATTAATTAGAATTAAAATTACTATTTCTAAACGAAATGTAAAAATTGATTTCGAAGTGACAATATGTATGCATTGATTTTGAAATAATTTTATTTTCCTACTTTATCTGACTTGTTATGGTCGTTTTTTGAAATTAAAAATTTTGTTACATAATTACATTTATTGACCTTTTAGTATGTCTTGTAGGTACATATACCTATGTAATTGGACGGAATTTTTTTGACGTTATCTTGGTTTTTAATAGTTGTTTTTTTTTTTAGTTTAGTTAAAACTATGTATGTACATAAAAGATACATATACTTCTATTAAAATACATAATAAAATGATTATTTTATGTACATATTGGTACGCTTTAATATCATAAAAGTATAGAATTAACAGAACTAATGTTTACTCAATATTAAATACGTATTTAGTGTACTCAAGTTGTACCTAATAGAATGAATAAAGATATAAATACTCGTAGTAATTTATTTTATTTACATCTATACAGATAAATAAAATTGAAGTATCTGTTTGTAATGTAAAATAACAGCGTTTTACTAAATGCATATGAAATTATATAATACTTATAAGAAAAACACAATTTTTAAATTTTTTGTGTCTCTCTGTCTGTCTGTTTGTTCCGGATAATCTGTGAAACGGCTGGACTGATTTTGACGGGACTTTCACTGAAAGATAGCTGATATTATAGGGAGTAACTTAGGCTACTTTTATTTTAGAAAAAGAATTAGGGTTCCGCTCAAAAAAAAAAAAGTTACCCTGGGGACGAACCTGAGTGAAGCGAATCTATATAAGCACTTAGGGTCGAACAGAATGACGGTAAGTCGCTAGTTAAATAACCTTTACACAAAGGAGTAAACTATAAAACGATAATAAAACGCATCGGAGTCGATAACGGTAGAAAGCGACATCAACGAGCACAAAAACAATAAACTAGGATTTCATTTTGATTGTTATGATGTCGATTTACCTACTTTGCGCTTCCTTTAAAAAAACTAATGTTTGCCCGCGGTTTCGCTCGCAGTATAAGCGTAAAAAACCTAAGTCTTTTTAGCGGTTTAAGTGTGAAAAAATGACATATGTATAGTAACAGACAGTGTTATTTTCATATTTATAATATTAGTGTCTGTAGATGCCCTTGGCATTTATATTACGAACGCTCTTAGAAAGGACGATTTTTCACAAAATGTTCATAAATTAAAGCTTATAAGCTTTCTAGATAATTTCTTCTATTGTAAGAACCATATGAAAGTCCTTCCTGTAGTTTCTGAGATTAGCTTGAACTAACACTACGTGCTGGAGGCTTTAATATGTAATTCGTAGTAGATTATCGCTATGCTTAGGTCCTCGGTACGAGCCAGTTGTAATGTGCACATAATTTATTAATCCATACTTTATATATGTAGCAATATACTCTATGATCCATACTTAATATTATAAATGTGAAAGTTTGTGGGGATGAATGGTTGTTTGTTACTCTTCTATCTATATGAAATATTTCAGTATCTAGATGAAATATTTCATTTCATTTTGGTAAGAAAGAGTAACAAAGTAACAAGTAGTAACAACATTTATAATATTCACATTATATATATATATATATATATATATATATATATATATATATATATATATATATGATATATAATAAGTATGGATTAATGAATATGCACAGAGATAGGTTATAGTCTGCAATAACACATAGGTTACTTTTTATCCCGAAGAAATGTTGGGTTCCCGTGGGATTATCATACTAACCGTTAAAATATACCAAGGGACGAACCCGAGCGAAGCGAGGGTGAGTTGCTATTACGTCAATGTATGCCACTCTTTAACCCTTAACTATTTATTTAAAAACCACGTTTTGTCGTGTTGTTGTGAAAGGACAAACAAAAAATACAATATGTCTGTTTGTTACACACCTGTCTGTGTTTCGAGTATCTTCTAAATAAAACATGACTAATGGGTTCAGAAGTATAAAGTTTTACCCAGAACTTAATTTACATAATTACTTACTTACTTAATATTTCTTTACATAATGAAGATCAGTATTAATAATATTTGTATATTTCATCCCTAATAGGAAATAATTGAAGGATGAAGATTTGTAATTTTGAGTTAGAAATATGGAAATTGATGTTTAAACAAATGTTTGTATTGCCGATGGGAAGTTATCACCACTCGAACAGCTGCTTATCCGCAGGTCCCGAGTTTGAGTCTGGGGTCAAGCCAAATATAGTTATTGGGTTATTTTCTTTAAAAAATCTCAGTAACAGCCTAGAGTTGGGAACTTGTCGGTGTTTTGTTTCACTGGACTGTAAAAATGATAGGAATTGAGATTAAGATTTTATTGTACGTAATATAAAGTCTTCCCAAGGAGGGTTGACGTCAGGCAGGCGGCCGGTCGTATAACCTTTGCCAAATCCTTATCAGCAGTACTACAAAAGATGTACTGCGCCGACCTCAAGTGATTGGGAAATGGGCAGAAGAAGAAGAATATAAAGTCTACTTTCTAAGTTTGTTATATTATTCGTGTCTTCTTCACAATACGTGATACTGGCAGAATGTATTGCGTCTGTTATCGCAACTCTAATCCATTAAAAAAAAACAGGTTTTTATAACTGGCCATTAAAAAATAAGTGATTTTGACATAACAGACAATCATGTAAAATTTACACTGTCATCAATAAAATAAAATAATTAAAAACAATACATAAAAGTTAAAAATGTCAAGTATAGATTCGCCCATGCCGTTGGCTGATATCGAGTCGGTTTTAGCCTGGGTCGATACTTTTAAACTGTCAAGGCCTACGAAGAAGATTAATCGAGATTTTTCGGATGCTGGTAGGTTATTTCTGAATACATATTAGGTACGTTTTATATTGTCGCTGCAACTGCAGTCCAATTTAAAAATGTTTTTAAGAGAATTAATTATTATTTACCGTAAAGCGTACCTATATACGAGTACCTTTACATATTTGTTACTGTACCTAGCAAGCTGGCAAGTACACGCAAAGTGAGAACAATATGGGGCAACACTAAAATTGATATAAAATGGGGCAGCGGTATCTAGTATTATTTTAAATGAAACTCTCACAATTTATTAATAGCAATTTTATATCAAAATAATTATTTTTAGAAAGTCTTAAGCCGATGGGAATTAGTAAATATTATGATAACTCTTTAATCTTTATGTTGTTTGCATTCTGCAAGATATCATTAAAGCTATTACAATGAACATAGGTATATCACTTACTAGCGTTGCTTCCCCATACAAACTTTCTCTCCCATTTTCACCCTATAAAGGAATGATTTCCGGGATAAAAACTATCCTATGCCTTTCCCAGGGCCTCAAACTATCTTCATACCAAATTTCATCTAAACGGTTCAGTAGTGTTGGAGCCTATTCGGTACAAACAAACAAAAAATCAAATCTTTTCTCTTTATAATATTAGTATAGATATTAGAATAGATATATGTACATACATAATTACACGATTTATACATTGCGGAATAGGCAAAAAGAACAGAGTGCCGAAATCTAATCTCTACATACTACTTTTGTTTCACGTGTGTTGTCATTCTCTTTATACACGCTCGTCCTCGTCCTCAGAATTATTATAATTATACGAGTATCACTTCAGTAGAAAATATTTGAGTTATAAGTATATTGTTCTAAATCTAACTACTTATTAATATAAAGATCGATTTTTCTTCTTATTAGTCCTTCTAGCAGAAATCCTCAACGTGTATTATCCGAAATTAGTAGAAATGCACAATTATCCTCCAAGAAACAGCCATTCTTTGAAATTAAACAACTGGATGACGTTAAATAGAAAAGTATTGAAGAAACTGAAGTTAAACCTGTGCAATAACACAATGGAACAGCTGGCGAACTGTGCTCCTGGTATCATTGAAAGGGTCCTTGTAATGGGTGAGAAATATCATTTAATACTTTATAGACTTTAGCTTTTAAAGTGATATTTCAATATGTGATGTAATGTTTGTATCGATATTTGCAAAGAACAAGATCGTAACTAAGTATTGCGGCAATTTACAATAGAGATTTAAAATAGGTATACCTGGGATTTTTATCCTAAGCTTACAATTTTTTTCCTTGCTCGATAGACCTTTAGTTTCTTAGTCGCTCATCACAGTTAGCGTGATTGTAATATCAAATTTTAACTGCCTCGGTGGTGTAGTGACTAGCATGGTACGGCTGCACATCTGGAGGGCCTGGGTTCGAGTTCCGGATTGGGCCAAATTTAGTTATTAGTCTTTAACTTTAGTTAAGGAAGTCCCAGCAACAGCCCGGAGTTGGGAAGTTGGCGGTGTTACACCCCCGTGCCTCGGAGAGCACGTCAAGCCGTTGGTCCTGCACCTTAACTCTCACTGGTCGTGTCGAGTAGTCAACCCACAGAAGATTGCACTTGTATTTACGCATATACGAGCTGCACTATAATCACTCATCTCCTGTATTTGACAAGTCTCAATGAGATTGGCCGTCGTGGCTGGAATCGGTCGGAAGAACATTATTGTTAATATTAAATTTACTTCAGTTCGGGATAAAATACGCCGAGACGAAGACCTGAATAAGAGTATGAAAGAAGGTGAACAGAATATGTCCAGTGGGGGCAGCTATTACGAAGCGTGTGGGGAAGATGGTTAGTATGACGATGATGGTTTTTAGAGTTTACTCCTTTAGAATCGATTTTCATATGAAGCCTCCGGTATGGAAATTTTATGAGGAGTTATATTAATACAAACGTTAAATCAAAACCGTTAGGTACATTTTGGCGAACCTTTCACTTTGAAATTTCAGTGATTAAAAATGACGAGAATGTGACATGATTATGTAACATGATTGTCGTATAATATTTCATAGGTCCTGGGTTCGAGTCTCGTGTAGGACTAAATAAAGTTATTGGGTCTTTCTTTCGTATAATTTTAAATAACAGCTCGGAGCCCGTGTTGAAATGTTGTACCACTTGAACTTGAGAGTGAAAGCAATAGAGAGTGCACTTGTAGCTGCACACACTGATAGTTATAATACATACTCGTACAAGTACCTACTACACCCTTTACTATATTTATCGTATGTATTCCACGTTACAGTTAACAAATGATAAAGCATATTCAGATCTGACTTCCGTAATAGCACCTCTCTTGTAGAGAGCAGCCCGTTAAGATGACCCTTATTTAGGAGAGTGTAAATCGGAGAGCTCAAACCATACATTTGAATTACTTGACCGATTGAAGTACTATAGATTGATCAGTCAAGTAATTATGTACATATTGGTTAAAACACGATTATAGTCAACGCACAATACAAAAGTTCTGTAAGAGATCTGATAGATCTCGTAATGCAGCGAACGTGTTAAGGAATATTATTAACTGAATTGCTCGTAAAAACGCTCTATTAAAATCCCAACAGACGGTCCTGGGCAGGACTTAAAATTGACCTTGCACTAAATATACAAAATAAAGAGTAAACTTTGTCAAGACTCCATATTTTTGTTCGTAGTATTTTAAAAGATTTTATTAATAAGAAACATATATTGATTTCAGAAAATATTCTTGTTGTTCCCGTCAAAGTAAGAGTTAACGGAGTATTAGAGGTTATACAGAAGAAAGTAGTCAGCCATGAGTCTTATCTTGCTGTGAAGGAAGAAATGAAAGATGCAAGAGATTCAGCAGATTTACTAAAACAAAAGGTAGGTGGGGATAGTAGGCAAATACCTAATAAGTTTACTTCAACTTTTCCCTTTATATTATTTGGTCTTGAGTTTGATTTCTACAGTATTAACTATTTATATGTAATACTACAACAGAATGTAGTGGAGTCAAGAGTTACATAGGATATATCACAACTACTTAATTCTAAGCTTCTAATACATTTAAAAAAAAATAAAAAAGTTTTAACGAATCATTTTTTTTAATTTAAATATCATTAAAATAATCAAATAATATATAAAAATTCACATACAAGGGTTTATTATATACTTTCCCATTTTTAACACTAACAGTTCGAAATGTTGGGTTTTAGGTAGAGCATTTAGACAATTTATTAAAACTAAAGAATGAGAGAATAGAAGAGTTACAAAAACAACTCGAAAGGAAACAATCGAGACGTAAAGAAGTTGAAATTTTACAAAATAGTCTATCCGTACCCTTTGATGAGCCACCATCGCCAAACGTAAATGATCTAGTAGCAAATAAAATATTACCACTAAAATCTATCGAATCTTTACCAAAATTACCAAAAGAAGAATCAAGAATTCCCATACCAATAATAGACTTAACTAAATCTATATCAAAGCCGAGTATTACTGAAGTAACATCAAAAGACTGTATCGAAAATGATATTATTGAAAGAGTTAAGTCAAATTTGTTTAAGGAAATTGTCGATGAAACTAATTCTGATAGTTTTTGCGATACTCAAGAGCTTGTTGATGAATGCGAAAAGATTGCAACGATAGAAGCTACTATACAAAAAGAAATAAAACAGATTTGCGAGACTAATGGTGTATCAAATATTATAATATAATTAAAAAATATATGTTATTCGAGATTTTGAAGGCTGAGCCGATTGTGATGAAACTTGATAACTATTTAATAATGGTTTTATTTGGATATATTTAGATGTAGTGTTTAAAACTTTAATTAGTTCTTAAATAAAATAATATTTCTATTTTACACAATTTTTCGATATCGTTGGATTAAAAACCATTTTTTGTTTGTCAATATTTTTATTAATTACAGTTGTTTGTTAAATGTTTAAAAATAAAATTGTACAAAAATTTTGAGTTATTTTCATATTTAACAACGAATGTTTCCTTGAAAAAGTTCACACAAGCTCGGGCGTTTTTTCAATATCTTCTCAATCTCTTGCAATCCATTTTTTGTGCATTTACATTCGTCTTTTCTTTTATTTTGGCTACAATATAAAAAAAAACATATTTATTTGTTTTTAAGTAAAAGGAATCTTCCTTATCCACAAATCAAAAGATTCAAATATAAAAAATATTCAGCATTATTTCATTTTTCATTAAATGTCATGATCTTAACGCCAATTTGGAAAGAAAAAGCCTCAGTCCTAAGAAGAACTGTCAAACGACCTTTTTTAAGCAAAATTATAATTTAACATAATTCTCTAAGATTGAAAGCCTGGAGGCGATTACATCATTCTGTATAGTATTTTATATTTATAATATATAGGAGCATGTGAGATATTCCTGAATAAAAAGCAGGTACCTACCGATGGCAAATTCCTTATTTTGACGACACTTTTGGCTTAATAGTGACGCTACATGCTGTGCCAGCGGTCGCGGGTTCGAGTTCCACTGGGGGCGTTCATTTGTGTTTGGGCGTTTATTTGTACTCCAGTCATGGTTGTTCATATTTATAATATATATATTTTCAAAGCAACATTAATTTTCTCTATTATTTTATCATGACTTATACAGTGGGCGTTATATGGGAAGTGTTGGTTCAAATGAAAGTCGATGCAATCACAGTTGTATTTCAAATTAACAATAATCACTTTGTACATAGTTAAACAGCACTTCACTACACAACCATATACCACTTCACTATTACCACGTATAGACAATACGGAACGCAAGACAGTTCCTAGTGGAGCGGTCCTAAGCTTGGCTCGGCTCGAAGGCAAGTGTCCAGCCCTCTTAGCACCCCTCCCTTAGCTAGGCTCCGTCGTAGCACGAAGCTCGCCGAGTGTTGGCGATAATACCGAAGGTGCTGCCATCACTCAGGCGTCGTGCCGCGTTTCGTTTAGCGACCGTATTGATGACCGTCTCCGACATATATATATATATATATATATATATATATATATATATATATATATATATATTTAAAGTTATACAGGGTTATTGGTAATTCAACGTATTCCTGTTACGAGGTGATAGGGGTGACTATTTGCGATAATTTTATTTTTTAATGAATATCATAATGCAAAAGTGAACCATTTTTGAGTTTCATGTTTTTTCATGATAACTGAAATGGGGGTTAAAATTATCACAAATAGTCACCCCTATCACCTAACGGGAATATTACTCTATATATGTGTAGTGTATCTATAGACCAGGGTAGAAGCCTTTAAAAATAATAAAAAGTGAAAAAAAATAATAGTAGGATGCAACCCGTTAGAAAAGGAGGGGAATTTTGAGGTTATGTGAAAAAAGTGTAAATACAAAAGTTTTAGATCTTTTTATTACCTACAACTTTGCCATTTGACTTTTTTCGATAGGACTTTTAGTTTTGCCGGAAATCTAGGAAAACCGTTTTTTACCCTTAAAACTGAGGTTTTAAGGATATGGGGGTGAGCGCCCATCCCCTTCCCGACCTCAGATCGCCCGTAAAATATTATTCCTTTCATTTTTATAATATTCCCCTCCTTTTATAATGGGTTTCATCCTACTATTATTTTTTTTGGTTTTAAAAATTATCGACCCTGGTCTACTAGTGTATCAACTATGTGGTATCCATAACACAAGCCTCGTAGCTTATCATGGAACTAGATGGTGCTGTGTGTTAATATTCCAACATGTTTATTTATTGATTTATTATTAGAATACTCGTGACACGTCTCTATAGAATTTTACTCCATGGGAATAACTTTTAAAGACATCAAAAGAAGTAAAGCTCTCAAACAAGCTTGGACATTAAAAAATATGCTTAATAATAATAATATTACTAACAAATTGATGACACTTTCGTCTTGTCCAATAACTTTGAATCGATTAAATTCAATAGAGTCATCGAAGAAACATTTTGCTTTAATTTCATCCACTTTTTGTTTTACAGGAATCAAATCAGCCACTACAAATATTTAAATAATGGCATTAAAAAATTAGTGCTTTTCAAGTTATTTCAAAATAACTAAGTTGTATCTACAAATGACCATCCTTGCATAGTCATTCTCCAAAAATTTATTCTTGATTCACTCCGATTTTTTTGGTTAATATTTTTTAATAATTGCCCATTATACGTTGGATGAATCTTATACGTGTCGATGTATCGTTGTATAATTATCGTGTAAATCGTGGGTCTTTTGTTATTTTTGCCTAATGTCTTCTTTTTTGTATCCCACCGAAACCAAAATACGTACGACCATAAAAAATAACCTCTGGCATGCTTTGAACTCATTAAAAAGAAAATTGAATTGGGAAAATATCGTCAGCCCATTCTTCACGCAAACTATTGATCACGTAAAAAATCACGTGAAAGAAGAAAAAACCCAACTAATAAACTTTTAAAATCATTCAAGCACGAACTTATTCAAACTCTTAAAAAGGCTGTTAAAAGATTCAAAACATATTACTAATACATATTATTATTATGTTAATATATATAATTCTTCTGTACGTGTGTTTGTTAACCTACTCCTCTTAAAGGGCTAGACCGATTAGGATGAAATTTTGTGTGTATGAATGGGCTCCTGGAAAACATAAATGGACCCGGTAGGTGGCGCTGCAGTCGGTGTGTCACAAAATTTTCATAAAAGACTCCATTTTCTGAGCAATAAATAAATTTAAATAGTTGATTAAATAAAATAAAAATGGACATGTGTATGTTTCTTATAGACTCCAAAGCAGTTAGAGCGATTTTGATGAAATTTTCAGGTAATCTTTAGATTAGTTCAGCGGGTGATCCTGTGAATTTTGTTTGCGATCAGAAGTTTGGACGCGGGCGAAGCCGCGGGTACTGCTAGTTATGTATAGATTTTTACAGTTACTCAATTTTAATCATTTAAATTACGAAAATCCTCATCTCAAAATAAATAATCTTACCCGTATATACTTTCTGAATGCTAGACACTGGGCTGGGACACGGAGCTTGGCAGGTGCATGGTGGTAGTGATACCGACATATCTGATGTTTGAATACCAACGCCTTCTAAACTTGGCGTCCAAGATAGTAACGGATTTTGTTCTTTTACATCCATATCTCTTTCTCTCTTTTTCTTCTCTTCTATTCTTTTTTTAAGAATTTCCAGTTGTTCTGTATGTTTTGGTATTGGATTTGTTTGTTAATTGTGTTGGTCATTAGTTGTGTTTTAACTTAAGTGCTCATGAATATAGATTAGGAACGAAAAAAGAATTACTAATTACTGTTTTTTTTATTTTCCTTTAAAATTACTAGATATTTTTAGGTATTTGTTAATTTTACCATTTTCTAAAATTTTGTTTTGGATAGATTTTGTATGAACCTTTCCAATATTACCGAGCTATCAATCTATTATCTATACATGTAATAAAATTCTAAGTCGAATCTGTACATTAAATATTTTTTGGAAAATCTTATTGAAATAGTCATTATTACCGATACAGAGGCCGAATCTACATATAGTTTTTAAAATTTTTGTCTGTCTGTCTGTGACCGCATCACGGACAACCCAGCGGTGACAGCTGGTTATCTCATATAGGATACTTTTTACTGCGGCAAAATATCACATCTCTGAGAAATCTATACTAACATTACAACGTAACTAGGGAAAAACCTGAGCGGAGCGAGGGTGAGTTGCTTGTCTAAAATAGAATGATAAAAAATGTACAGTGGGCTATAATTATAGGGCGAGTGGCCTGAAGTGTAAGTAAGCCATATTGTTATTCCATCTCAGTGCATCTATTAGATCATTAGATAAACATTAACAATGTACACATTGAAATTATGTTAGTTGAATGCATGGCATTTATTTACATGTATAAAAATTAATGTATGTTTATCTATTTGGCTATGACGCTATTTCTTACAGGTGTTTTTATTTATGATATTTAGGTTTTCCTAATGGCTCTTTTCAGAACTAATGAAAGCAATATACTATTTTAACAGTAACAATAATTTTTCGTTTGTGCATATTTCTATCTACTTATACTTTTACGAGTATATATGAACATGGAACAGACTAAATAGGGACGTTAGACGCACAAACGCACACGCACACACACATACGCACGCATGTACGCACGCACACACACAATCACACGCACACCAACACACACACCCACACGCACACACATACACACACACACACACACACACACACACACACACACACACACACACACACACACACACACACACACACACACACACACACACACACACACACACACACACACACACACACATTAGCTAATTAAATAGAAATAAAATAAAATTTTTAGATGTTAACACATTAAAATAATAACTGTAAGCATCACCTGGAGAACAAGCCTTATATTCGTCATAGCCTAGTTCGAAGTGCGCGAAGGGACTTTCCCTCATGTACGCGGGGAGAGACCGCATGAACGAATCTACTTGTAATTTCTGACATTTCTCCATCGGACATATCTGATGTAGAAATTGGGAAAGTTTTTATAAATTAATAGAAATATTAAAAAGGCAGTGGTTACTCCGTGGTAACACGCTCGCTTGGAAGCCGAGTGAAGTGGATTCGAATCCCGGGTCTCACACTCCTCATATTTTCATGGCGAATCTTTTCCAACATGAAAACATCGCGAGGGAATCTGCATGTCTGAGAGAATCTAGTAAGTTTACGAAGGACATGTAAAGTTCGCCAATCTGCACTTAATTTCCTGAGTCTTAGTTATTGATCGATTGATCATTTGGACATATAACACTATTGTTACTACTTAATTTTTTTATTTACGTACTAAGCAACAAGTTCTGAGTAAATTAATTAAGTGGCTGTATAAAAAATGGGCATAGTCTAAGAAGTACTTTATGTATCGTTGCGCATAGTTGAAGTCCCGGGTAGGACTAAAATAGTTAGGGGTTTTCTGACACAAATTTCTCAGTAGCAGCCTGCAGTTGGGAAGTTGGCGGTGTTTCACCCCCATGCTGAGGCAGAACTGTAGAACACGTAAATCCGTCGCTCCTGAGCCTTAACTCTCACTACGAGTGTCGAATTATTATTTCACCAATCTATATATGAGAATTAAAGTAATTGAGTTTTAAATTGTTTTCATGCATACTTGTGCACTATAATATCTCCTGCGCAAATAGCTAGTTTCAGTGAGACGAGCCACCATAGGCGAAATCGGTTAGGATGATATTAGTAAGGATATTCCTATGAGTTTATTGATCTCCTACCTTTTCATTATTTATGTTGTGATCGTGGTCAGGCACGTGTGAGGGAATGACTTGGAGGCTGTCGTTATGAATACTTCTAAAATTGAAATATATTTTATTAGATCTGTTAAATTATAAATGTTTTTTTTTAAAATACTTAAAATACTTTTTTCCAGCCATTTCAGCGAGGAGTTAAAACATACATAAGTAAATTTTAGTATTTATACTAGTAGTATTAGATAAGTGTATATGGATGTTCAATACTTAGTCAAATATTTAGGGACGAGCTTCGCTCAGTGTTCTTCGAAAAAGATATATAAATTGCGTGTTTTCAGAAAAGACATCTATCTACATATATCAATAAACTTAAAAAACAAAATCTTGTCGTTAGAGCCATTAACGAGATACATGCAATAAATTTATTTATGTATATACAAGAATTTCTCATTTTAAAAGATAAGATACCTTACCCAAGTGCTGACATCAAATCATTTCCAACTTCTTCATCGTCCAGTTTGGATTTAGTTTCTCTGTTAATTTTAAAATATTATCCAAATTAAATTATATAATTATATTCGGTGTAATGTATAGTGTATACGTCAGGCCAATTTAATTATATCTTTAATCAAATAAAATTATAGGAAGTACAAAATGTTTATAAATGGGTTTTAAAAAGAAAAAATATAAAAAAATAATACGTCAAATAATAATATAATTAGGATATTTTTTCTATCCTTGAAGAAAAAAAAAATCTGGAAAATAAAAACCCTAGGAAGTTGATGCAATTTTTACGACTTTAGAAGCTATCATCTAGATTGTATTGGCGAAGTATCTAATCTGTGCTCAACTGACACGCTTTGAGGCCATTAATAAGAAAATAAATCATTTAAATTCTAGGTATTTTATTTCTAAAAATTCCAATTAAAATGACTGTGACAGACGGAAAAGACGAGTTATAAGGGTTCCGTTTTTATCTTTTAGTAATAAAAATTAAAAATCTCTAAATTCTATAAATAAATAAAAATAATAAATACATATAAAAATAATACTTTCTTATATTTACGCGAATATTTGATATTTTAAATAAAACTAGCCAAATTGGGAACCAAAAATCAAAATAAATTCGCGAAATATTCCGAAAAGATAGTTTTATTTTAAAATACATATAAAAAGTAAGAAACTACTACTCACGATTTATTTTATTGTTTGATTAATCATGGTTGGAAAAAATGATTAAAATTTTTTTAATGCTTACCTACATTCCACTTCTGGCTCTTCAGTTTCCTCTACTTCTTCTTCCATATCCGCCCGCATCTCTTGAAATAAGGAATCCTAGTGCAAAGTATAAAATAAAAGAAATGAGGTATAAAAATGAGTAATGTGGTATTATTTAGCTACAATGGACCAAAACTGGTCGACGTAGCTAGGGCCGACCTCGGCACCACACCCAACACTAAATAAATAAATAATGTGGTATTAAATGTTTTGACTTTTGAATATATTTTATGGATTTATTACTAGGTACTATTTCTGTTACATTTACTACGAATTAAGGCTTAAAGATCACAAATAAGCTTATTCTCATCTTGTACTTTTTTATTTTTTTTAAATTACTGTATACATTTTAATTTTTATATCTTGTAATACTTATACATATTTTTTATTTGCTCCAAAAAAAGATGAAATATTTCTGAATCTTCCGTCGCTTTCATAACCTTAACAGTTAACATCTTTAAAAGTGGTATTGTTAGCTTTAATTAAATATACATATTTATGTATGTAGTTTCAGCCTTTTTTGATGTGAAACATCTATTTGCGCGCCTTGGCAGTAAAACCGACTCATGGTGTGACAGCAAACGGCGGCGTAACACTGTCATGCCATCGTGCCGCTTCTACATTTCGTTGCTTCTACACTTAGTGCTTCTGTGTCTGATCTGCGTAATGTTCTATCCGACTATAGTATCCTTGACACGTTTCCGCTTAGTATTTTTTAAATAACGATTCTCAAAAGCTAAATATTTTATTTTTAATTATGTCATATTTACTGCCTTTAAAAACCATCTTGCCATGCATATTTTCTATTTCTCTTTTAGAAAAATGTTAATATTTTGTTTTTAATTATATCATATTGAATGCCTTTAAAAGCCATCCTGTCATGCATATTTTCTATACAAAATAAATTCGATGTTTCATATCTGCAAGGCGTCCCGCGATAGCTTTGTTTTTTTTAATGTACTGGGCACGGGCGTCCCTTCAATGCTAGTGGTAAGGTCGTCCACCATGCTGGCCAAGTGCGGTTGATCATATGTCTTTCAAAAATTTTCAAGGTTCTCTCCGACATGTGGGTTTCCTCACGATATTTTCCTTCACCGTAAGTTGTTCGTAAGTTCAATTTAATAAAGGTAATTATAATTAGTTCAAATCGTATCGCCTTTATTTATGTATTAATTATGTAATTTGTCTTTATTTATGAAAACTGCTACGTTCCTAAGGGTTCCGTAAACTAAATATTAGGTTACCACTACCCAATACAGGTTAACTTAACAAATAATGAATATTAAATATGCATAAAACATATACATATAAATAAATATTTAAACATCATTACGTCAAAACCATTTTGTCGCTGTTACGAAGAGAAAGTAGGAAATCCTGTGTCGGAAGTTGTGAGCCATGTGCTTATAGTAAATTGTATATAATATTATACAAAATTTCTATACTTAAAGTGAATAAGAAATATTGAATGTTAAATAATTAAATATTTTATAACTAAAAAGAGATATATTTCTAAATCATCTTAAAAGCGGAGTTTTTCTTGAAAATATGGAATTATTCTTAAGATGGCTTTTACACATGGTTCATAATTGGCAATGATATTACGTAACATTCATACAAAGTCATACGCACGATATGAGTATCTATTTTTTTAAATGTGGTCAACTAAAATGTCCACAATGGGAAAAAATTTAATTCGACCAAATCGAGATCGAGTAATTATAAAGATATAATAGATCAATGATTTAGGTATTTTTAACGCATTCTCACATAAAACTGTTATTAATATACCTAATACTTTCTTAGATTTACTCGAATATTTGACATCTATACACATAATAAAACAGTAATTTCGCGAAATTAATGTGCGCGTTTCACGCAAAAAGTACTGAACCGATTTTAATTAAATTTGGTGTAGTGATAACTTATTGCTCGGGTCAATGTTTTTGTGTAAAGAACGTTGACCCGACCTACCTTTTACTACAAAAAAATCTTTCATTCCCACGGGAAAACGCAATAACTGGTTCAATAGAGTCGGTCTTAGAAATTTACATGACTAACGCTGGCTGAACCTTAAAAGATACATCAAGACAATGTACTAGAAAATTATAGGTCTTATTAAGACCCATAGAAAAATCTGCAATAACATAAGTCTTTCTCCTAAGGTACACTCGCAATAACTATTCATATCTATATAAAACGTACCTACAGATGCATCCGAGCGATACGAGCGTAAGTCGCTAGTTTAAAATAAAACTCTTTTTAAGGAATGTTTTTCCCATCACTGTATTTGTTACAAAAAGCATTCAAAATGTCAAAAAAAATCACGAAAAAGTCCTATAAAACAGTGTTCGATGTGTGTATATATCACCTATACAAAACTGACGACCGAAAAATAGAAAAGTTAACTAGATATTAGTATATTATAATAATTAGTAAATAAATACTTACAATTTTGTTCCCAATGTTCAGGACGACTCTGGTGTGGTCGACTGTTTGACGATGTTTTTCACGCTAGAATTGTTTATTTAATTAATTAATTTAATAAAATATTATTGTTTTTATTTAATTATTTACTTAAAAGTACCTACTTGTTCAATTCTTAGGAGTATTTTTTTTAATATTTTAAATGGAGTTATAAAAACAATTCCCAAGCGACGACGAAAAATAAATATACATTTTAGTTAAGTTCAAATTTTTGAAGTTATTCAAAAATCTATGTAAATAAAAATGAATCACCGAAATCTATATACGCATAACTTCGGATGGACTGCACAAAATTGGATAATTCTTTTTTTTGTGTTTGTTATTGTCAGGAAGTTTTATACAAAAGAAAATAAAATAATTTTTTTTTACTAAAATGGCAATGAAAGTTTGTATGGGGAAACAAGCTAGGGACTAACCCGAGCGAAGCGAGGGTGAGTCGCTGGTGATTATATAAATATCCTGATAAGAAAAATTTTACTTATTAATTAAATTCAAGAATAACTTTTTCTCTTTTTAAATATACATAAATGCATTTTTACTGTACTTTGTCTTCGTCGAATGCGACTTTCACCCAAATTGTTTTAAAAAAATAAAAAAGTAGGTGGAAGATAATTTTATAAAAATCAATCTTATATAGATTATTTTAATGATTAAACTCCTTTTTGTTTTATAATATTTGATTTGAAAATTTCAAAATTTTAATGATTAAACTCCTTTTTGTTTTATAATATTTGATTTGAAAATTTCAAATATTTCTAATTACACATGTATGTTAATTATACAATTATGTTTGAAAAAATACATAATATTGAAATAATTTATTATGTTGTGATATTATTTTGAAAGAAGTGTGTACCTACTTCTTCTATATATTTGCTCCAAATGGAACCCTTAAGAAAAGTTTGGCTGTTTGTGGTGACGCTACTTGCTGTGCCAGCGGTCGCGGGTTCGAGTCCCGCTGGTGGCATTCATTTGTGTGATGAGCACGAATGTTTCTACTCTAGTCATGGGTGTTTATATTTATAATATGTATGTATTTAAAGTTACATATGTGTTTTGTATCAACTATCTGGCATCCACAACACAAGCCTTGTAGCTTAGCATGGAACTGGATGGTGTTATGTGTTAATGTCCCAACATATTTATTATTTATTATTATAAATAAATTTAATTTAATTTTATTGTTTAAGTGTAATAATTTCAAAATTGATCACATTTCCGTGTAAACAAAAAATCTTCAAATCAACACCTATGTTGATTTTTAGACTTAACCTCTTTACATTTCTAAAGGGGTTCTTTTTGAAAAAGCGTGAAACACTTGTTATTTATTTGTTGACAGGAGTAATCCTGCGTATTTTCGTATTGATACATCTCTCTAATGTAATTTATCCATACAAATTTCAAACCCTCGTTTCACACCTTTAGGGGTTTAGGAGTTGAATTTTCAAAAGTCCGTTCTTAGCGGATGCCTACGTTACTGTGTGCCAAATGTTAACCCAATCCGTCGATAAATCAGTCAGTCAGTCACGATTTCCTTTATATACAGATAACAGATATTCAGACTGCTTCTAAAACTATTTTTTTTACAATTATAATTTCATATACGCTTACCAATTTAGTAGTAGATGCAATTTCCATAGAATCTCTTGCTCCAAGCAATGTCGGAGTAGGTGCTGGTCGATATGCACTAGATGTTCTAGAAAAGAGGTTTATGTCAATGTATAATTGAGTCAGTTAGGTATATACCTGGTGGTTAATAAGTTAACTGTATCAGACTACCAGAGAACAAACAAAAAACTACATTAAAATAGGTTTGGCGCTACGATGCCACTAACAGACACACGTTAAGTTTATAACACCTCTCTTTTTGCATCGGGGGTTAAAAATAGAATGTTTTAAATAATTTAGAAATTATACCTAACACTTTTTATTCACTCACTTTTTATTTTAGACTTACGCGTTCTTTACGACTATTTGACATTTTAAGTGAAACTACATATCTTTTTAAAAAATACAAAATAAAACCGCCAAAAATCCGAAAAGATAGGTGCATTTAAATGCTTAGAAATTAATTTAAAAAAGTTATTATTACCTACATTATATAAAAATTAAAAAGGTACATACATATAAGTTAATATTACATATGTGAAAGAAACAAAAAAGCAAGCCCGAGGGCAAAATATGGACGTAGACTTAAATCTTGAATCTATACATAGTTATATTATACAGGGTCATTTTTAATTTACTGAAAACCTTTTGGGAATATACTGTTTACATCATAACAATAACATCTATAAGAAAAAAAATATATTTCTTAAATTTTACAAAAACAAAAGTATTTTTATTGCTCCTTCTAAACGGTAATAGTCCAGCAATTAGCAAAATTGTCTGTTTGTACGGGCTAATCTCCGAAACTGTTGGACCGATTTAAATGAAATTCTGCATGGTGGTACCTTATATCTCCGGTCAACATTTTAGATACTTTTCATCCCGGAAAATTAAAGATTTCCCGTGGGATAGTTAAAAAACTATACTAACTTAGGTATATAGCTTAGTACACAACAACTAATGCACCTAATTTTCTTATATCTTATATTGCCGGACAAACAACAGGTTACATTTTATCCCGGAAAAATGAACGATTCCCGTGGGATAAATCTGTTGTGCCTTTCTTCTAGTTTTCTTCCGTATGGTTACAAAAGGTTGATACTAACATCATTTTCAAAAGGGACCCCATATTTCCTCGGATGTCCACTGATGCTGTGGTCACCCGGCGACTTGTGTCCGACTACAGATTAAGATTGTTTATTGATTACAATTAAAAATTCAATATTTTATGTACCTATACCTATTATTAAAGCATTTCAATTCAATTTTCTCGTTAATGACTTCAAATTGTGCCAGTTAAGCACAGATTACTTCGCCAATGTCTAAAGACACTATAAAATAAATCATTCCACTTTTTTGAAAGTAGCACAGAACAAAATTTAACGAATTTAGCATCCTCATTTTTGAAGTCGGCCAAAATAATTAATTTTTATAAATGAATTATAATTATTATAATATTTTTTACCGTACTTTAAAGTAAACATAAACTTACTCCTCGTGAAAACGCCTGTCTGTCCGTCTGTATGGTGCACTCCCATTTATCCGGGTCTGGCTTTATTTTGAAATATTCTCGCTTCATTGTATCCGCATTGGGACACGTGGATTTTAGCCACATGTTGTTGAAAGCTGGTAATAATAAAAAAAATATTATATTTGTCCAACATATTGATAGGTACAGCAGTTTTGACATTTGATTTCGAACGTACATACAATCTACATTAATCTATTAACCACCAATCAGACGATCCAAGCTTACCTACGAGTACATACATATATTGATGATAATGTTCTCCTAGCCGATTCCGGCTACGGCGGCCAATCTCATTGAGATTAGCCAACTGCGCAGGAGATATTATAGTGCTCAAGTGTACGCGCAGGCACAAGTGCACTCTCTTTTCCTATCACTCTCATACTCCGGTGGGACAACCAATCGACACGACCCGTGAGAGTTACGGCGCAGGACCGACGGCTTTACGTGCTCTCCGAGGCACGGGGGTCAAACACCGCCAACTTCCCAACTCCGGGCTGTTACTGAGACTTACTATACAGAAAGACTCGATAACTAAACTTGGCCTGACCTGGGACTCGAACCCAGGACCTCCGGGTGTGCAGCCGTACATGCTAGCCACTACACCACCGAGGCAGTCACATACATATATTATCTATACTAATATAATAAAGAGGTCAAGTTTGTGAGTTTGTGAATCGTGAGTTTGTGAAGTTGTAGGGGGTTAATCTCTGGATCTACTGAACCGATTTAGATGAAATTTGGTAACAAGATAGTTTGAGACCCTGGGAAAGAAATAGTATACTTTTTATCCTGTAAATTATTCCTTAAGGGGGTGAGAATGGGATGGAAGTGTGTAATCATCATATATAGAAGGTAAATCAACATCATAAAAAGTCTCATTGTATCCATCATAACGTTCTCGAGCTATAATTATACGTCTATAGCGTACATTCAAACAGACACAAAAAAAGATTAGAATAAAAGTATAGGTACGGCTATTTTTTCATGTCAAATATACGACTTTAAAAAAAATCTATGTACATATATGGATAATATGCACATGTTATTCTAAGATTGTTTTGAAAAAAAGACATGTCTCGAAGTCCTCATAAGTCATAAGTTTTACTGGAAAAATCTTAAGATTTGCCGTAATTTGAGGTTTTTTAGTAACATTCTATACGTTCTATATATTGTTTGTAGAGTTAAAAAGAAAAGAACAAGAGAATGAAAAATAATAAAACAGCTAATTATTGCAAAAATAAATATGTATATAAATAACCATATTCTTTCCATTTCTTAGGCGCGGTCTTGGCAGCTTTCACAGCTTTTATGATTTCCCTTCTTTGTGGAGGTTTGAAGTCGGACATGTCCCCGAACATTATAAAAGGATGGTCACCCTCTAACCTCTTGCACCACGGCTTTTCAGTTTCGGGCTCTGATAATTAATTGACGTAAGAAATGTCATTATTGAGCATGAGATATTTTTTTTTAAATTATCGAGTTAAACGATTCTAAAAATAAAACATTTTTTATAGCGATCACTAATATAAAAGTGTATAAAGTGACATATTTGAACGTTTAAGTGAGATAATTTCCCGCGGTAAAAAGTAGCATAAGTCAATTAAAAAATTGAAAACCATATCTAATGCGTTTCAAATTGACAGATAACTATAGGTAAGTACTTACACATACATGACAAACACACATACCTTCTTTCGTTGGTAATTCATTTTCATTATCACATGGATCTTCTACAGGGTTATCCTTCACAGGTGCCTCAGTTTTGAGCAAATTTGTTATATCAAATAAATATTGATTTGTTTCTGGAGTACCCCCGATAAAATTGTTCACAAAGTTTTGGTACTGTAAAAAAATTTAACATTACATATGTAGGTAAATACTCGCCTAATACACACTCTCTAATCTCTAGGTGCATACCATTAGCCTATATGTTTCTCCAGGTTATAATAATAATAATAATATATTTCTTTATTTCAGGCTTATTTCCCAATATTAAATGTCAACACCATCGTTTACAATAAAGTTATGGTAAAATAAATACATACAAACATTAAATTCGAATACCTGCTTTTTATTGCAACACTGCTGTGTCAACAAATGCTGGAGAAAGTCAACACTCAAGTTCTCGCCCTTTATTCGGAGAATTTCATTATTATAATTACATAGCCCTTATATAGATCACTCCTTATATATTTATAGTTCCTCTGTGTTCTAAACATCATCTAAATCTGTCCAGTCGTTTTAGCGGAAAGGAGTAACAATCATACAAACACATACAAACTTTGACATAATTATAAAACTAGTTACATATAAAAAAAATAAAATCTGATGTACAATTTTTATCAATCAGTCACGGGTAGCGTGGCCGAGCGGTCTAAGGCGCTGGTTTAAGGCACCAGTCTCTTCGGAGGCGTGGGTTCGAATCCCACCGCTGCCAATATATTTTTTAGAAAAAAAGTTAAAAATATTTTTGTTTATTGGACCTTTGCCCCATGGGTCGATTGCAAGCGAATTCCTAGGGTGATATAAATAAAACAAGCGTATCTTTAGATTTTGTGAGACGAAATCCCATATATCAATCAACCAGCCATTATAAGGGGTCGTCAAGTACGTAACTTACCTACGTGCGTGTTAAATCTTCAGTTTATTGTAGACTTTACTTTCTTAGATTTATGCGAATATTTGACATTTGAAATAAAACTATCTTTTCGGATTTTTTCGCGGATTTATTTAGATTTTTCAAGACGGGGGAAGATTGTCTCATGACCATGATTGCTGTAAAGCATTCGAAACGTCGGCAACCAAAAATCAAACTAAATCCGCGAAAAAATCCGAAAAGATAGTTTTCTTTAAAATGTAGACGTTTTATTATGTTACTTGGAAAAATATCTATATCCCAAAAGTATGCAACCCCTTTTTGTGTAGCACTCACATGTTTTCCTTAATGAGGAATTTGTCTAAGGAAAATATTTATCAGCCAATATGGCCACGTCAAATTAATTATTGGCAAAAAAATACGTATATAAAAAGTGTTAAAATTTCATAATGTGCGTGTAATCAATTGTTTTCATTTTTTAAATAAAAATAGTATAAAAACGTTTTTATACTAGGTATGTTTATTATAGATTTTATATTATTTATATTATAGTTTTGATATTATTTATAATGACTCGATATCAGCAGATAAAACGGTGATTGGGTCATCAGGTTCATTAGTGATTATAATTGATAACGAATTTGGTTTAACGATCGGTCGAAGGAAAGTCTGCAACGTGTCAGGGGTTTAATATTGAGATAGAAACTCGTATCGAATAATGGATATTAGATAACGACTTTATGTAATTCAAAATGCAATTACTAATAAAAAAATTGTCTTTATATATGATGCAATGGAGGAGATCGAGAAATATATGCGAACTTTTAATTTATTTATATATAAATATAATAAAATTGTGACTCCGTATTGTGAATCCGTACATTAAATATTTTTTCGGAAAATCTTATTGAAATAGACATTATTATCGATACAGAGGCCGAATCTATAGTTTTTAGAATTTTTGTCTGTCTGTCTGTTACCGCATCACGGGAAAGTCACTGGAGGGATTTTGATGAAATTTGGTATAAAAAAATTTGATATCTGGTTATCCGGGTCAACATATAGGATACTATTTACTGCGAGAAAATATCTCATCTCTGAGAAATCTATATAAAACGATAAAACGTAAGTAGGAACGAACCCGAGCGGAGCAAGGATGACATAAAATTGAAATGAAATGAATACTAATTAGACTTATACAAGCACATTTGGATTTTTAATTTAGAGAAGAGTTGAAGAGGTAAATCTAACTTCTAAGACTATATACGTATAAAATCACTTAATGATTACATGAAGGTTTAATCACTTTTCGGAAAAAATTATGCGTTACAAGCTGAAACATGTTTATATTTTACATTACCATATTCGCATACATACATGTCAAACACAGCACTCTCCTTTGGGTTATGTCGCAGTCGGATAAAAACAAACGTAAAGTAAGGTTAGTGCTTAAACAGATGGATAATTCGTATCTATAAAAATATTTTGTAATATAATTAAGTTCGTACGTGTTTAAGGATTTTCTTCATTTTCTCTCGCCATTCGTTATCAACTCTCGCCGCAGTTTTATAGCCTCTGGACAGATGTAAAATCAATGCCTGACTCTCTGTTAGAAGCTTTTGTAGAGATTCTATGTAGCTTGTGTATTCTATGAAAAGTGGTAAATATTAATGATATGATAAAAGCATTTTGTTATTTTCGTTTGTGGTCGGCTTCTGGCATTGTTGGAGATACCAGCCTCAAAAATCTTTATTGTCTGCTAAGAACGTAGCTGGTATACTTCCAAATTGAGGAATTCAATCAATTATAGCAGGCAAATCTTATGAACCCTTGCAAATATTTCAAAGCAAAATTATCATTATCAAGAATTTGTGTTTTTTCTTTTGCATCACAGTAATAAAGCAGCGGATTGCTGTTATTTATTTGTTTTGTTGTATTTTTTACAGAATTATAGCTAGTCTATGGAGTAGTAGGCTTTTTATTTTTTGTAGTGAAATTTCTTTAAAATCGTAATGAAACTCGATGAAACGGAAATGCAATACTAAAAAGGGACAAACACATAAATATATAGAATTAAGCCGGCGAGAGAATAAGATAGAATACATTGCCATGTTGCCATGGTAACCGTTGTCATTGTCTAAGAAATATATATTATTATATTCTTTCCGTATAAGATATTCCATAAATATATGATTGTAATAAGCCTTATTTGATTATATGAGTTAGAATACATTACACAGGAAGTGAAAAATAATAAAATTAATAACTGACTAATATGTAATGTATATTTATGTCAAATAAAGTGTAAAATAACTTTTAAACTTAGTTAAAATATTATAAAAAAATAAACCTTATAATTATCCTACTCCTGATACTGTATATATATATACCTACTATGTTCATCTCATTTTCTCGTAGGTTACTTTTCTGAAGTTTCACTTCTACCGCGTGTGAATTGCACACACACGTTTTTTTTTATAATAGGAAATGGGTTACCCAAGGCATGTTCGGTTATTTGAGCGTACCGGGCGCAACCAAAGTACCCTAAAAGTTACGTGCTAGTGGTCCGTCAAAGACTGTGTTCAAAATGTATTAGAAAATATATCCGAAAATTACATTAAAACCTTGGGCAATAGTATAAAAAATATTTTAAAAGAAAACAATATCGAATGTTTAAATTACAAGACGTGCACGATAAACAATAGCATTCCCAAGGAGGGTTAATGTCAGGCAGGCGGCCGGTCGTAGAACTTTTGCCAAATCCTATCAGCAGTTCGGAAGATGCATTGCGCCGACCCCAAGTGATTGGGAAATGGGCATGGAGAAGGTACGTCAAAGACTACGTTAGCAGACCCACTACAAAATAAATAAGTGTAAAGTTAGTTATGGCTAACCTTCACATATTTTCATCATCTCCATCTTATTTTTCCGTCTCTCCGAACACATAACGTACATAAGACCAGCTAAGTTCTTACATTCTAATTGATTTTGGAGCGCTGATATCTTTTCTTGGCGTTCTCTATGAGCTTCTCTTAGCATATAGGATGCACGGACTTGTTCATTACTGATGGAAAATTGTAATGCCGTTTAAAATTTAGGAATATGGTGTCAAAGGATATGAAAAGGGTGATGCCAGCTTAATCCCTCCACGACCGCGGACACGCCGGCGTATCGGTTAACAATAGATTTCTTAGAATTTTAATTAATTTCTTAGAAATTTACCTGGAGGCTGGAGGTGTTAATAAAAGACGATTGATTTATTTTGACCTAGCTTGGTGAGCATTGTATGAGACTCTGGAAGCGTGTAGAAAGCACAGCAATGTTACTTGCTTTACTGGTAATAATATGGTAATTTTACTTAGAACAAAAATTCAGCCTCTTTAGAAAAATGTCGATATCAGAACTGATTTTTTGCTGACTTGATTAGACTATTATAAAAATATTATAGACGGTCGACAGTTTCCGGATCAACACCATCTATCGTCTAATTAAGAAAATAAAATAGCTCAACGAGTATAATTTCTTTGTATGAGATGGTATGTATACTAATATAGTATTGTGTCATATGTGGGAGAACTAAAGTAGAATCTTAGAAAATATTGAATTCTCCAAGAATCTTGCTAAAAACATTTAATGAATCATTTTGGCCTCTGTATAGTTTAGTGGCGTAATACTTATCGGTTTTTGCGATATTAATATTAAGCACACAAGTCAGTATTAGGTACAGTAGATACATATACATAGGTATATCGAAGAATGAAGAAATTTGATCATGAAAGAATTCGAATATAATATTATCACTCACTGCAAAATCAATTCGAATCTATCTTTTAAATATTCCATCTCATGTTCCATGCGGTTTTTGAATTTTTCTTCCATTTCTATTTCTTTCTCTTTTAACAATCTTTCGATTTCTTCTGAATGTTTTAGTTCAATCTCTGCGTCTATTACAGCTGAAATATATTTCTTCTATACATTATTACATATACATAGTATAAAACAAAGTCGCTCCCGCTGTTTGTAGGTTTAGATCTTTCAAACTACGCAACGGATTTTAATACAGTTTTCAGCAATAGATAAGAGTGATTCAAGAGGAAAGTTTATATGTAAGTATAATATATGCATATCATATTTATACTAACCGTTAAAACGTACCTAGGGGTAGGGACTAGGGACGAACCCGAGCGAAGCAAGAGTGAGTCGGTAGTATATTATAATATGAATTTATTACAAACAAAATGTATATTAGGCAAATTAAATAATTTTGTAATTAAAGACTTTTTTTCGAATAGGTATAATAAAAGTGTAAAATTTTATAATAGTAACCTAAAGTTTTTTTATGGTTCCGTAGTCAAAGTCAAAAACAGATCAAGCTAAATCTATAACTTCGTCATGTCCGTTTGTATAACAATATATAAAATTCTCGTGTCACAGTTTTCGTTGCCATACTCCTCCGAAACGGCTTGACCGATTTTGATGAAATTTTTTGTGCTTATCCGGTATCTATGAGAATCGTCCAACATCCATTTTTCATCCCCCTAAGTGATAAGGATAAGGGTGGGTGGTCCTCCCAGACCCCAGGGACGAACCCGAGCGGAGCGAGGGTGAGTCGCTAGTAACAATATATAAATAGTTTGGTTTTTTCATAGATAACTCTGTTTTTACTGTTTGGCGGAAAAGTATAATATAGCGAAATGCGTCATAAATGGGGAATCCCAGTCATAACAATTTGTTTCGTCGAACTTATATTCATACTTTTAAACAAAAAAGAACATCCGAATAAGATTACCTCTCGATAATAAAAAATAAGTGGAAGCAATCCTTTATGAAACTAAGCTTTGTTGTAAAAAAGTAAAAAAAAACAAAAACCCTTCATACATTTACAAATGATAAACACTAGTCTATGTAATAAAAAGAAATGCTGTTTATGAACGGACGTATAAAAGTATTTTAATTTTGCATATGATCATTGATTACATTAAAACAAATAGGTACTCAAACAAACTACATAATTATGAAAAAAAAAAGATTTTTTTAAAGGAAAATTATTTAGCAATACCTTTACATGGACATATAACTTTTTCTTTCACATCATCTTCTAGTTCTTCAGTCTTTGGAATTGATGAGTCTTTTATAATTGATGAGGAAATAGGGGAAGGCTGTACTTCCTTTATGCATTCCAGGACTTCAGCACTGCCGGCTACTGTTACTATTCGTTCGTGACTCGAATGACGTGACATCTGGGAATATATGAACTTTAAATTAAATACTAGCAGATTCTATAGGCAGACTTTTTCCTGCCATAGGCCTCCTTTGGTGATACAAAAAAAATCTAAGTCTCAAAAACACCGCCACCTTCCGGGTTTAAATATAGTTGAGAATCATCATTACCAAAAATCGGTCAAGCCGTTTAGGAGTAGAAAAATTACGAATATACCAGTATTTTATATGTGAAGAATATATTGCCAAAAATTAATGTTATCAATGACAAATTGTCAAATGGAGTGTTACATACATATTACGTTTTTTTCGCTGCAACGGATTTGAGTAAAAATAGGAACTGAGATAACTGTCATCAATTTTTTATTGGCGTACCTATACAGTACCTAACGCTACGATTTTTGGGTTTATATAGCATTGTCTAGTATAATATTATATGATCTGTGCTGTAAGTTTCTTCTCAATCCGTTCAGTAGTTTATGCGTGAAAGAGTAACAAACATGTGAATCCATAAATCGTCGCAAAATTTTGTGTTTATAATATTAGTAGGACTACTCTTTTGCTTTGTCTAGGCCTCGACGGACGGATTCCAGAAACGTACAGTAAGTATAGGTACAGTATCTATATCTCACTAAATCATCTCATCTATAGCATTATCCCATAGTATTAGATGGTTACATATTTTTATATATTTATTATTTAAATTATAGTGTCTATTTTTATTTAAATACTATTTGTAAGTTCCTTTAATAGGCGTCTCAAGGTCTAAAAGGTAAGCAAGCTACCTGTATATATACAATTGCTATTCTATTGTTCTCTACGGCTTTAATAATAATGAGAAAAAACCACCAATTTTATCGTACTCATACAGTTCTCATTGCGTGGTCAAAATTGTAACACAGAACATGGAAAAAAATAATACTAAGGTAGGACTTTTGCAGACTAGTGTGACGTGCGAAAATATGCAGTGAAGTCAAGTGATTGTGTATTATTTCAGAAGAAACGTTAGAACTTAGAGATATTAATAAAACTGCAAATAGAACTTGTAAAAGACTTGATATAAATTATGAAGCTTCTTTAGTAATGATTAACAATACAGTAGGTACTTTAATTAAAATTTCGTATGTTGATAAATAAATTTATATAATATTTATTGATAACATAAAATGTTTAATAAAACACATCTCATGTATAATTGAATGCTAGCCAACTTTTGAATGTATGCGTAGGAATAATGAATTCGTTGTTCAAACTAAATATTCCATCATCCATGTATTAGACTAAAATTGTTCTCTTAGTTTAAGATATTAATAAAATTTTATAGGAGATCCATCGATCACTAATAACTCTTTATTAGTGATCGATGACGAGATCGAACCTTTAACCTCTGTGGCCTAATGCATACTGCTATTTTTTTTTCATTATTATATATAATATATAGATAGAAAAGAATCAAATAAAAAACCGCAGCTATAATATGGTGCCCTAAAGTGTCACGTTACAATTATATTTGGAAATAAATATCACCGTATGAAAACTATAGCAAATCATTAAAAATGAAGTGAGTTTTACACATGTTATATTTAAATATATTTTTTTACATTCAAATTTTAAACTACAGTTCTCATAGTGTGATCTTTATTTCCAAATATTGGTGAAACCTATACTCTACCCTACATGGAAATCTAAGCACGAATGAGTATAACTGACACTAATTAAACAAATTATATATAGTTATATTATGGAATGTTTATAAGTACATACAAAATACGCAAAGCTCAAAAAAGATAAATATAAAAACATAATAAAATGTATGGAGTATACCCAAAAAAGGTATTATCGAAAAATAATAGTGAGTACTGGCTGTTTGTAGGAAATAATTGATCAATTAATAACATTAAAATTTTTAAAGTTCTGTACAACGCTGTTTTAGTATTGTGCTCTGTGATGCTGTTTGTATTAAATTGTTTAACGCTGTTCGTAATAAATTACTTATTTTTTGTTATTATGCATAACAAAAACCGTGTAGTCTATTAAAAAATTGATGAAATATATTATTATACTTATCGATACATTAAAATGTTAGGACGCATATTGTACGACTTTTCCGATCGTAATAAGGTTAAACAACCCACTTTTTGCGGACAGTGGACACCGTAATTAACTCCAAATAATCACGCGTCACCGTTGTTGCTATCTCAATATACGCAAAAAATATGTAGGTCATTGTACTTTTTCACTTAGACATAATGGATCCATAAAATATAATATAGATCTTGTAAAATAACTAAGCTTTGGTTTTTGAACAATAAGCTTTTACTCTGATTGCTATATTATTTTACATGACGTTTTTGAAAATTACTTACAAAAAATTAATTCCATACATTCGGTACCTATGTTATATAAATCTTTTTTCTAGTAATCATATTGTTCAATTTAAGTTTTACAAATATTATTTATGAGTTTGCTTTAATTTAAAATAAGCAAACCTATTAAAAAATATATTTTTTAAACTTTTCTACCAAACCATGTGCCAGTGGCAGCTGTCAAAAATATTAAGTATGGCAACAATATAAATAAGAATTTGCTGTCGTGCGTGAAGTTTGTAGCATGTGATGTTTCGTGAAGTGTTAATTTTTTACGAAAAACTATTAAAATATTGGACTGTTTCGTGCCTGAAAGTGTTATGAAAATATTATAGTTAGTGTTCTATAACTGGTGAATAGTGTAAATAGTGAAATAGTATCAAAATAAAATTACATGGATAAAGCCGTCACTTGAGGTTGTTAAGGTTAGTGCTTTTTTCGTCTGTTGTTTGTCTTAAAATAGATTTCAGTGCGGGTTGCAATGATATTTCAGATTTGTTTGTGTAACGCTTTCATGTGACTTTTCAGTTTTTTCACGGGACCTTGAACTAGAAACTTGTATCAGCCTTTTTCGTTATCAAGGTTAGGATCGAGAGCGCGCGTTTTATGTCATTCTGTTAATGTTTATTTTGCTTTACATAATAATACAGAAAGCATAATTATCGCATTAAAACTTAATATTCAATTACTTTGTCTATGATATCAATGAACAAAGTCAACTTATCAGAACTAGCAAATTTTTCGGACTTAACCTAAACGTGGGTCGTGGTCATTTTTTTGCAACAGTTTTTATTGTTGCTTAAATAACCGTTATATACATCGAGTTTGGAAATTACAATGTGGTTTCAAGACAAATTAATGGCGTTTTTTGGCATGAATTCCATGTTTATGTCACATGATCTGTTTTCATTTGACAGTTGTGTTAATTTTAACTGCTATCTCCCATAGATTGACAGTATCACGTATCGGACCTTGGTTGATAATAAAAACGTGCAAAATTTACTAAAAATGATATTGAAATTTCGATACCTACTATAATATGAACTATACAGCTAAATAATGCAAATGTATGTTTGTATGTCTAAAATTCTAAGGAAGCAAAAATTGCTTATGTGTAATACAAACAACAAGTACATTTTAAGTTGTCAATATTCATGTTACATATAAATATCTATTCAAGGTTTTTTTTTATTTATTATAATATATATATATATATATATATATATATATATATATATATATATATATATATTATACACAATAAGCCAACCACATGAATAAAATGATTTTGATTATTCCACTACATTTACTAAAGAATTTCTCTTAGAGCATAATTTTGCTTAAATATATTAATCTATAGATTATAAAAATGTTATATGGTTATATTTGGTATAATTTAAAAATTCTTATTGCAGAATGAAATTTAATGTCTTAAGGAGCCATAAACATGTTACATGCACATATAACATGTTGCTGTTTATGTTTATTGACAAATTAAAATGCATTTATAAGAATTTGTATTAATAATTGTATATGTAATTAATAATTTATTTAAACTTACATTATATGTATATTCTAATATTGTAAAATGGTGTACATATTTGACTTTTTTGTTTTTGAAAGAAATTTAAAAAGAATTTGGCACTTGGTGAAAAGTCTATTTTAACTACAATTTTATTATCTCTACTGTGGTTTAAGTTAATGATATATAATTCGGTTACAAATATTTATATAGAAAATTACATACATACATGTAAATAAAATTGTTCAAATAAACAATGCAAAATATATTTCTGATAATAGTTTATATAATAATTTAAATTTTGTGACCTTAAATTATTCTTTCTGTTCCTTTAATTAAGTATGTTAAATATTGGATATTTGTAAGATTTTCAAATTTTTTTTTGGGATTTTTTAATATTTTTGTTTGTTGACAAACATATTTGACAGATTACAGCTGATTGACTGTCATTTTTTTATTAAGTGCCTGCTTTAAAAATATTGTTTTTAATTTTATTATTAAAATGCCTGAGGTAATAATAGGACTATTATCATTAAGGAAAATTCTTTCAAATTTAACTACATTTTTATCAACTGTTAAAAATAATATTTAATTTGAATATAAATTAATAATAGAAAATATAGTATAACATTTATTACATTATTTTATACATACAACATGGATTCAATTTAACTTATTATTATTTAAACAAATATATAAACAAATGCTCCAACTAAAAGTAAACGATATATATAATTTTTTTTTGTAAATTATAAAAAAAACAAAAGTTTAAAATGCTTTAATAAATCTTGGCTCGTACAAAGATATAAATCTTAACAGCTTCTCTTAGATCTATGGTAGTCCAATGACTTCAATAAAACTATAATTGAAGTTCAATGTTCTTTTGACCTTGTATGGCATACTTGGGAACTAAATAAACAGCTATGTAATTTATCTAACAAAACAAAAGAAATATATAAATTCAGAAATAAGTAATATGAACATATTTTCTATTACCGTAGAGAATGTATTGTTGTGCATATTGTATATTTCTATATAAAACTGCCTTGGTGGTCTAGTGGTTAACATGACAACTGAGATCCGAAGGTCCTGGGTTCAAGTCCCAGTTTGGGCTAAGTTCAATTACTGAGTTTTACTGTTAAGATATTCTTAGTATCGTCCCATTTGATTTTAAGGGTCAAAAGAATAGAGCTTGTGCACTATAATATCTTGTTCGCAGTTGGCTAGTCTCAGTGAGTCACCGTGGACAATATCGGCCAGGAGGACATAATAATTCTATAAAATATTTTTTTTACAGAGAATGGAGTCACATATATTGAATATGTACCACCAAGCTGCTTATCGCAGTATCGGACATAAGATAATGCGCTCCACAAGTGAATCACTCTCATCTGAAAGTAGTTGTAATCAAAATAGTCCAGAATACTCCCAAAGTCAAAGAACTAATCAGTATGAAGAAATTAATGAAGGAGAGTATTGGAACCCTCAAGACCGTCACCAGGTGTGGAGTCAAAATCAAAATGTAAGTAGCTCTCTTCTTCCATGTTTTTGTGCTTTAGATTTATACTAGCAACACCTCCTTACTCTGCGCAGTTTGTGTCTGGAAATGGTAATGTAGTAAACAACATTAAGAGCTCAATATAAGGAATTAAATATTTAAATTGTAGTATATTATGTATCATACATGGAGATTGACACTGATTATTATTAGCTTTAGTTATAGAACAAACTGCATTCATGAATTCTTATTTGTTGTATTAAGCATTTTTTTGTATTTAAGATTGTACATATTGCAATAGTAAATAGTTTGTTATCTTTCAGGTTAATATAACACAGTCAAATCAAGACACTAGCATAGATGAAGATGAAAATATAGAAGTACAAGAAGTTTCTATAGATGACAGGAATTCTGAGTCTAATGACAACATAGATGCATTAGAGGAAGAAAATATGGAAGAGAATTCCCTTGTCGAAGGTGATGATTATGATGTGATACAAGTTTTCGCTGTCGATCCAGACTTAGATCTAGAAGCCTCATCAGATGAGGAGCAAGAAGATTATTGCATTAATGAAGAAGAAAGTGAGTCTGATGTCGGCGAATATTTAACATCTGATGATGCTGCCAGTCCAACTCAACATGCACCTCAAAGTCAAATAAATATATGCCAAGATAACCTAGGTATCAATTTTGATGCACCTGTAGTTTCAAATGTCGATGAGTATTTTATTAAAGATACTGATGAAAAGCATATATTGGAGGTGAAGGATGAACCGGTCGTAAAAGATGTCGATGAATATTTCATTAAAGACTCCAAAGAAGGTTGGCAACTTTCGCAAAATGAAGTAGTAGAAGTTGCCAATGCTAAATTTAAATTGGAAGAATTTCCAGTACCAGTAGAGCCTGACTTTCGGATATCAAAGTCTGTGCCAAAACAAATATTTGCTCCTGATATTTCCTCAACAGAGAAGGAAGAGGAAATTGAAGATGAAAATGAAGATCCTGTTGCTGAAGTTTCAATAAATGAATCAGATTTAGAAGTTCTTCCTAATATCGAAGATTTAAAACGATATCTTTTAGAAGATTTGCCGTACACAAAATTGAAGCATGTGCAAAAACCATGTTCAGTCTCTCTACCCCATTCACCTATGCACAATATTTGTATGGACATAGTTGATGCGAAGACCTGTTTAAGTTTTGAAGATCTAAATCTTGATTTATCTGATCTAACGTTTGAAAATGATAAGGAAAAATCAGCTACGAGCATAAAGAGCGACGACATTCCCCGCGCTTTGACTGAAGAAGATGTAAATAGCTTCCTTATTACTAATAAAACAGAATCGAAGGAGGTTGTTAAAGAGGAAGATGATTTAAGTACTCAAGACATGGATATTGATCGTCCTGTTGACTCAATAATCGATAATGTCGACTCTCCTGTCATATTGCCTGACAGAAAATGCACCTCAACTCCTATACCAGGTGCAAATGTATTAGAATTTTGCATAGAAAAAACTACAGTCAAAAAAGAGCCAGATATTAAAATTGAAACGGACGATTTCGTAGACGTCGAATCGTGCAATGATGCTGTCATCCCAGTTTTAGAAGCTAATAACTTAAATTCGCTTCTAGAACAATTCGAAGCAACTGAGAAGTTAAATAATAAAACAAGGAAACCAGTTATAAATGTCAGCGAGGTAAAGACTAAAAATATTAGCTTGACAAGTGGTATGCGACTGCAGGATGCTGGCGTTCAATTGAACAAAACAAAAATGCGCCAAATTTTGGTAAGTATTGTGGGTTTGCCAGTAATTCTCAGGTCCATTTAAAGACAGCGATATTTCTACTTTAAAATTATTACAGATGCCGTCCACTGTAAATCCGGTGATCAGGAGATCGCCAAGTCCCGTTCACTCTGATCACGATTATTGTTCATCGAAAAAGAGGCACAGTCTTCCCAATTTGAAGGGAGGACAAAGCCTCCTGAAACCTGAAGTCCTGTCTAGCAACAGCAGGATACTTAGCTCAAGGCATAGGTCTTGTAAAAATAAGAAAGTAGTGTACCATCTTAGTAGTGACGACGAAAGTGACGTAAGCAGTGCTAAGAAAAACAAAATGATGACCAATCGTGCTAGTGATGACAGTGACATTAAAACAAATAAAAAATCTAGTGTGAAACTAAGTGTTAAACCTCCAGTGAATTCAAATCATCGTAAGAAACTATCGCCCGCGCGTAGTGCTCCGAACGATATCGAAAAAAGTAACGGTTCTGTGATGGTGAAAAATGCTTGTAAAGCAAGTGATACTCCTTTTAGTCAAAATTCTAATGGTAGCATTAAGTTAACGATTAAAAATAAATCCGAAGTTATAATCAAAAACTGTGATGTTAGGGAAAATCATAAAGACGTAGTCATTGATAAACCTAAGTCTAGCGCGTGTCCGAATAAATTAGCGAACAATATAAGCAATGTTAAAAATATAGAACCAATAGATAGGAACAAAAATAAAGACATGACTAGTATAGATAGACATGGTAATGTAAATATAAAGCAGGAAGTCAATTCTAAGCCTGAACACTTTTATACAGCGCTTTTTAGTAATAAGCACGATGTGCAAATTCCCCAATCGGTACACATGAAGGTGGAGAAGAAAAGTAACGATGAGGAAAGCAAAGCTATTGTTGATGTAATTGTAAATGAAATCGAACAGCCACAGAAGAAGAAGAAATTGAATCTCCAAGAATATAAATTGAGGCGAGGTGCCAATTCTAATAATAATTCGGCCCAAGTCAGCCCAGAAGCGATATTTCCGGATATATCTTGCAACATTAACTTGGATAAAGATTTTAAAATGGCAAATCAAGGTCAAAGACATAGTGTTTTAGTTCAGAAGGAACAAGAAAATTCAGATGCCTCAAAAGTAATTTTCGACCCGATTAGAGAAGCTTCGAGGAAAATCTTAATAAATTCAAAGAAACAAAAAGCTGAAGCTATGCGGAAGAGGGACGAAGACATAGTTATGAGTAAAATACCAAAAGTTGAAAATTTGGAGTTACAACCTCTTATAAGTGATGCGGAAATGATGAAAATAGTTGGCATGACACCAGTGCCAATTGTAACGCCACATATCGTTCGGGAAGAAAAACAACAAACAAAAGATTACGACGAGATTGTTTTAGTAAGCATGGGAACGAATACAGATGAAAATCTCTTTATGAGAGTGGAAAGGCCACCTGAAAGTAAAATACGTAAATCAGAGTCACCGCCTACAGAAAATAAATCTACAATAAATTTTAAGATTAAAAAATCTGATCACGTTTCTAAGCACAATGTATTTGACTCCGTTAAAAGTAGAAGCCCAGTTGACGATAAAAATCGATCTGATATCAAAATTGATAAGGAAAGACTTAAAGATATCACGGCTACTCTAAAGAGTGTTGAGAAACAAGTAGATACTAAAATCTCAAGTAATTCGCTGTTCGCTAGCATACAAGACGTTGTGATGAAGAAAGCTCCGTCAGTTATTGCCACGTCATCGATTGGAGAACAGAAACAAATAAAACTTAATTCTCCGACTGAGAAACGCGAAGCATTTAAATACGCAAAAACGACTATAATACGTGATTACGATGCGAATGGCGAGCATGGAGAAGACAAAGTTATACTTCATTTAGAGAAAAAGAGAAAGAAACCAGATTACGCTGCTGTGGATATCCAAACCGATGCCACGCCTGAGTTTGGAGATTTGGTTAAGATTCCTGAAAGACTCATCGTTAAAGATAACAGTCCGTCACCTAGAAAAAGAAATGACAGTGACATGTCAATGTCAAGCGAAGATAGTCCAGTTCGTGCGAAGAAAGTCCAAAATGTGCCAACAACGAAATCTGATGAAAAAACAGTTAAACCAAGGCCTGACAGCAGACGGCAGCTAAACAGATCACAGTCAAAGGAAAAGAGATCACGGTCAAGAGATAGGCATGATGTTAAATACCGACGGTCGCAGTCACATTCCCGTGGCCATAGACGGAAACGTTCACCGAGTCGGAAACGTTCGCCAAGTCGGAATAGGTCGAGATCTCGCGGTCGTTACAGGAGATATCGTCGTTCAGACTCTCCTTACAGGAGGAAACGAACGAGATCTCCCTACAGATCGAGAAGATCGCCATCCATTCGACGAGATTACAGAGCGAACCGATCGCGATCAAGATCGAAACACACAGAACGAAAATCGAGAAGTCCAGTTCCTAAAAAGAAACTCAGTCCCCCCAAATATAGTGTAATTAGTGAATTAAAACCGACTAAATCGTTAACACCGCCAATAAGGAAACCAACTATATCTGAAAGTTCTGAGTCATCTACATCTTCGAGGTACGTTTTAAGGGTATTATCTTATTTATTCTTATTTAGTAAATCTTGATTCTTTACTTGGATCTGAGGATTGTGTTACAAATGGAAAAAAAACTTAAAATATTTCTATCTATTTTTAGTTCGTCCTCGTCAAGTAATACAACAGTGTCTTCTAAATCCCGAAGATCGTGTAGTCCATATAGGAAAGACGATTCATTCAAAAAGAAGGGTTACAGAAGCTCTTACAGCTCTGAAGACAGGTGAGAATAAATAGAAAAGAGTAAGAGAGTGATATATATTATTGTTCTCTGTCGCACAATATAAAGAAATAACTTTATAAATATAATTGCGTTTCCCGTGGTTCCACTCGTTTATCTTATTGCTCCGCTCCCAAGTTTTACATCCTCTATTTTTTAATTTACAGTCAATGTACATACATACACATTATACATGAATGTTAAAACTTTGAGTTAAAATATTCTTTATTTTTGTTTGATAGATTATTTCTAATTAAAAAATAACGACCTTTCATATAAACTTCCAACATAAAACCGAATTTCCAAAAATCGGGTCGAATTTCCAAAAATCCTTTTTTAGCGGATACGTACTACCTATGATAACCTGTGTTACTTACTGAGATTTTATGATTAATATAAATAAAGTTATAGAATAGACATTATCGGTGTTTAAGTTTAATCAGTTGGACATTTGACGTCACGCGTGACTTATTTAGTGATGCTCGCTTTTTTGGGAAATATTCAACGTATAATTTTAATCCGCTTGTGATATGGTTATATGACCGTATTTATAGACTTGCTTATTGCACGCGACATCTCTGTGTGAGGTTTTCTATTTATGCACAACTTCTGCGTTACTTGGGACGTTGAATTCGAAGCTTTATTAAAATGTATTAAAACGATTGAAACAGATCCGAATCTATTTTTAATCCAAACTATTATATTACATGTATATTAGAAAAGTCCCGTGGAAATTCGACGATACGTTTGGCTCAATTTGTAGTGTACTTGCTGTGCCAGCAGTCGCGGGTTCGAGTCTCGCTGGCGGCATTCATTTGTGTGATGAGCATGAATGTTTGTACTCCAGTCATGGGTGTTTATATTTATAATATGTATGTATTGAAAGTTATATATATGTAGCGTATCAACTATCTGGTATCCATAACACAAGCCTCGTAGCCATGGAACTAGATGGTGGTGTGTATGAATGTCCAGCAGTCAATACAGGGAATATTTTAAAAACTGCATATAATTTTATATAATTTTTAGTTTATTACGCCATGAAAAATCTTAAAACATTGATAATAATTTCACAGAATTACATATTGTATAGTTATACTAAAATAAGATTATTTTTAATCGGGTCAGGGGTTCTCGAAATACATATAAGAGCACGTACGTACCGATAGAGATTAGAGATTCTTGTTATATCCGTATCTTTTGATAGTTTCGAATTACTTGTCAATAAATAATTTAAAAAAAATGCAATAGTGTATTAAATATAAGAAATAAGATAAAAATTATGTCTTTAAAAATTATAAATGTATTTATAGCTATTGATCTAATTTTAGCGCCGCCCCTGGGCATAGTAAAAAATGCCGCCCTATTATTGAAATTTTGAATAAAATGTTGAAAGTTTAATTTTTTTTTATTATATATTTTTTTGAAAAATGCAAAGAACTAATTTATAAATGATATCAATTTTTCGAAAGTACCTACTAGTTAATCATTTTTTATTTTTCATTTTTTCTAAAATAAAGAAAGCATTTTCGTTAACGCGTACAAATTTTTTTTCCAACCTCCGAATTTTGCCGCCTCCGTGGCGAACTAGTTCGCTCTTTTAGTTCGTTAGTTTTTTTAAATATTAAAGTAGAGATAATTAGAAAATGAAAATATATTTACGATTATATCGAATTCTGTTATTAACCGACTTCCAAAAGGGAGGAGGTTCTCAATTCGTCGGAATCTTTTTTTTTGATTAAAAGAATATGCAAAAAGTATGCAACGTGATATGTGACTTGATTTTCATATTTCTTTTGTGAATCGATAATTATTATTTTTTTGGAATAGGGCCTTAACCCGAGTGTTTTATGATATTTAACACCACTAAAGTTGGTGAATGATTTTATACTACTGATATTTTTAAGTGATTTTAAAATGATATCGCGCTTTTTTTGTTAAAAGTTATCATAATAGGGAATACCTATGCGTGATTTTTTTTTATACAATAGCTCGTTCTTTTTTTTAAATATCATACCGATACAGAAACAGATACTTTAAACACCCGTCATTTTGACGCGCTTGGCGTGACGTCATCGTCTATGATAACAGAGCTAGTGTTGTCCATTTAGCGATTTTGTCGGATCAATGGCATTGCGTAGAATTATCCCCCTTATATTTGCACTTTTTAATAAATATTTTCGTAATCAAAAAGAAATTACATAAAAAAATATAGGCTTAATTCAGAAGCAATAAAGATTATAAAAAAATATTTCACCTTTATTTAAATCACAAGAATATTCCCTATTGAAGTTAGATATATGCAAAAATTGAGGTCTAGATCAAAATCTATATGATAATAGATGAAAATCTATTAAATACTTTTGGGCTCTTATTACCTCAATAGTCTTTGTTGGTTTAAGCAGCCTGTGCTTCTGTTAGTTTAATCTAAAATTGATTTGTAAAACGTTTATCTTTATCTATTATTTTGATATTTGTGTTTGTTAGAAAAAATATACGATTAATGATTTTATAGAAGATGGCACGCCTTGGGAATGATGCGATTCAACTTTATAGAATTATTGTAAAATATAATGTAATTTATAAAAAAGATAAAGTACATAATAATATTAGTCCCGCTGAGTTTCTTTCGCCAGTTCTTCTCAGGTCTGAGGCTTCTTCTTCCCGAACTGGTAGTAGACTCATGACGTTCAGTAAAAATTGTAATAATTTAATGCTGAATAAAATATTTTGCATTTGAATTACAGAGAGAGCAACACGCCCGTTGAAGAGAGACGTATAGTGTTTGTTGGTAGGTTAGATAAGGACGTGACTAAAGCAGGTTTGCGTGCGCAGTTCGTCAAATTCGGACCAGTCACTGATGTACGATTGTATTCGAAGGAAGACGGGTAAGTTAACCGATTTTAAAAGAAGGTTTATGTGTTTTTTGTGTGTGTTTCGAACAGGATAGTGTTGTATGACGAATAGTGTCTTTATATCTTTTTTCTGGCCTTTTCTCATCCGAACTGTATTTCGAGTTATGGTCCTTCCTCATGAACCGTATACATTTATTTTATTAAATGTAAGAATTGGCGATTTAAAGTTGCCTGTAAAAAAAAACAATCAAAAAACGTATAAATGCTTATGAATTTTTACTAATTTTAGAGACTTTTAAAAGAATTACCGTGTACTTTAGTTAAAATAAATAATTACTTTTAGGTAATTTTAAGGTAAGACAGTGGTAGTCCAGTGGAAACGCGCTCTCTTGGGAAACCGAGTGAAGCGGGTTCAAATTGTGTGAATCATTTTCAACATAGAGAACCTAAGTTTTCGAAAGACAGTAAAGTCGGCCCCGCACTTGGCTAGCATAGTGGGTTATGACCTGATCCCCCTCGTGTTGAAGGGAGGCCCGTGCCCAACAGTGGGACTTCAAAAGGGCTGCATACAATTTTGAGGCAGTATATCTTTTTAATTTAAAGTAATTATTATGTTTTTAGCTCTCGTTACGGGTTCGTAACCTTCCAACGGCCTAGAGACGCCTGGTCTGCCGTCGAGGCGGCCAGTACGTTCCCCCAATACGATGTGGGTTTTGGTGGCCGTAGAGCGTTTTGTAGGCAAAGCTATGCAGATCTTGGTAAGTTGTTACTAATCAAATGTTCCTTTCTAGTGTTATTCTTATGTGACTAGCGCTTCCCTGTGGTTCCTATCGCGTGGTTTAGTTTTAAATGGTCTGCTACTGAGTTGCGCTTCATTCCCAATTTTTCACTACCAGAGGATGTACTGCCCAATATGAATTAGTATAGTTATATTTTTAATAAGTTGCATTATTTCTAATTTTATTTCAATGTTATTATAAATATGATGGATTCTTACAAAAATTTCAAACACCTTTTTTAGCCCTTTAGGGGTCGAATTTCCAAAAATCCTTACCTAGCAAATACATACTCCCTATGAGGAATTTACTTGGCGGAATCAAAATTGTTGTTCTATCAGATTGGCTTGAATGTTTTAAACATGAGAATATTGAGAATCTAACTCGCTATCTCCGACGTTAAATGTAAACGAGGTCCTTTTTAATTAAAATATTTTTTAGTTAAAATTCAAGTTGACTTTTTATCAAAAACATGATATGGCTATGTAAACAGGTTCAGTCATTAGGTTTATAGAATAATTTGGAAGTAACATTTATTAGAAAATGTTAAATACTAAGTTTTTGTAGGATTGAAATTTGGAATCGGTACTAAAATAATATATGGTTTTTTTTATAAATACTTAATATTATTCCTCACATTTTGTTAAAAAAAACATTTATTATATTGATATTAATTGTCGGTGAATGAGTAAAGAAGTCACTATGAATATTTTTTTAAAAGAATAATCCTACTAATATTATAAATGCGAAAGTTTGTGAGGATGTATGGATGTCTGTATGTATAGATGTTTGTTACTCTCTCACGCAAAAACTACTGAATGGATTTTAATGAAAACTTACATTAACTCATACATCAGAATAACACATAGACTACTTTTTATCCCGGAAAAATGTACCTTTCCCGTGGGATAGATTTGTCTTAGTTTTTCTATATAGTAATTAAATGTTGTCTAATTGAGGATAACTCCTTGATGATTTTTTTTAGTTTTACATTTTCCGACATCAGTGTCATTAAAAATCTATAGGTATATAGCATATATAATAAAGTAATGAGGATAAAGTATAGATTGTTTGTTTTTTTTTTCTATTATTATCGTTATATACAAAGGCATGATAAAAGACAATTGAATTTGATTATGATGGCATTAAAAGAATATGACGTAGCCTAAATAAAGAAGTAAATTAAAAATATATTATTTCATATAAAAAATATGCCTTAATTATTTTTATGTCATAAAACAATCATATTTACTAATGTTTATTTAATGTGTTATTTAATTTTATTAACATGTTACTAACAAAAAGGTTTCATGTAGCATTTTAATGTATAATTTCGATTTCTAACAGATGGCCTGGAAGCTAAATACACTGAGAGCGCTTTCCACGGCCAACCGGCGTTGCCGGTCCGCCGAAACGACGACATGTCATTCGAACAAATGTTGCTAGATATAAAAAAGAAATTAAATAAACGAAAAGGCGACAAAAACCGTGACGACACAGCTTGACGATTACTACACTCTAGCCAAAGTCGTATTTGTATTGTTATATTGTTTGTGCTTGTCAAAGTGATGCATTTCCTCGCGATGACAGCTGTCAACGTCACTGTCAAATTGACGGTTGGCGTGCGTTGTGCAATCGAAAAGACGTTTTTGTTGTGCTCACAAGTCACAACGTACCTCCTTTAGTGAAATTTTAGTACATTTTTTTCTTTACTGAGTTAGTTTTGTACATAGTAGCTTAGTTTAGTTTCGTACGTAAGTACGTTTTAACGCTACCTCTTATTTCTAACACGTTTTTTTGTTTATGTAACGTCGAGCCTTCGAAATCTATAAGATACGGCTAAAAAAAATATAAAAAAATTATCATCCATTCGCCCATCGTTTTTTAACGGTTATTTAGCAATAGTTTCATAGAGGCTCTTATTTTTATGTAACATATTAGGACTAACTTTTTGTTGTTTGGGTCTTTATTTTTGCAATCTTTAATTCTAAACCTAATTTCGGGTATGAACGCTATGTTACCGGTTAATCACTACAATTGTTTTAATTTCTGTTTTTTTTTGTAACTTTATCGTAAACTATTACGAATTATATGTAAATATTATACTTAAGATTAACTCTGATAGTCTATATATGTATAGTTATTGTAGATGTATAAGGTATTAACCACCATGTTGGAATAAAATCCACAAATCTTAAAAAAAATACAAAATTAAAAAATTATGTACTTTATAATAAAATGTTTTGAAAACAAATCTTTTTAATATAAAAAGGTAGCTGAGTGTGAAAGGTGATTAAATGCTTCCATTAAAGCTAGTGCCAAATGCTATTTTGTTCCTATTTCCTTTCACAGACAGTGTTTCAATACGGGGGTATATACGCAGCTTTTTATAATAATGCATATTCGAAAATTGCTAATGTTATACATGTATCACTGTAAAAGTCCGTATATTGGTAAATTTTAGGTTTAACTAGTATATCTTAGGATTTACTAACATGAGTTGGTAAATGTAAGGATTTTATAAAACCCTTTTGGGCTTTTACCATCAGAGTTTGGTACACGTTAGGTTTTACCAACGATGGTTGGTAAAGATGGTTTATCTAAACACTGCGTATTTGACCTTGTCGAGATAAAAAGTCGGGCGACATGGATAACGTAGGTTGAAAAGGCTAAGGCGAGAGCCAAGCGTAGCGTAGCTTCTCGTTAGGTCTTGCTTTTTTATTTCAAACCCAGAACACCTAATATCATGAGTAGTTTACCAAGCATCTTTGGTAAAACCTAACATGTACCAAACTCTGATGGTAAACACCCGAACATCGTCTACTCTTTATAAATATTGGCAAATCCTGAGATTTACTAGGTAAACCTAAGATTTACCAATATTTGGGCTTTTACAGTAACACATACACTGCTTTTACTGCCAAGATAGAAATAAACCGTAGACATAGAGTATGGACTGAGCAATACTGTCATGAAATTAACCGCTCTAGAAAGAGAGGAGGCGAACGTACAGCCAATGCCTATCTTTTTTCCAATTTGAATTTTTAAATGAGATGTAAAAAGTTATAATATTATTGAAAATTATAATATTGTAATGGAATATAAAATGGTTATACATATCTATCTTCATTAATCGTATTTCAACGAATACACAGAAGACTTCTGGCCGCGCATTGGTTTTGTCTCTTTCGCTTTTCCGCCATTTTTAGCTGACGGTTGAACAAACACTCAGTGCACTCTCTACTATGTCTATGAAATAAACCTACCATTACACAAATTTCACGTCATAGACTGTGATTTTTAATCTACTGTTAAAAAATGACTGTCAAAAACATCATGGAACCAATTTAGAATTTAATTATTATCATAGTAATACTTAATAACGTTGAGTCATTGTGTCCTATCAATTTATTTTATAAATTAAAAAAAAAAACATAATACAATTATGTCAGTTAGTGTTGCAATACATCCTAAACACTGCTTGCTTAAAAGACTGCTTTAAACAGACTGTTAAAATATTTACAGCTTTCCATGGGATTTGTTGCGATATTTTGCCGTAACTAAATAAAAACGTAGATATATTTTTGTACTGCCCCCCTTAGATTTTGATATCGGAATTAATCCAGTCAAAATTGAAATCGCGTTTTGAAGTTACTAATAAAATTAAAATTTCTATCTCTTCTCAGCCAGCGAAAAATTAAATACTTAAAAAAAAAGGAATTGCTCTAAATCTTTTTTTTTCATAGCAATATCATGGTGAGGCAAAAACTTCATCTGTCACATTGACGTATCTGTGCATTAGTTTTGTAAAAAAAAGAAAACCTAGTCAATGTAACTAGATGATATTGTGTTTTCTCGTTGTGATGATATTTATTTTTACGTTAATTTTAAGCATATTTAAATATGATTTTAAGTTTAAATTTTTTAAGTCGAAATGTATTACCTAATAAGCTGAGATTTTTTGACTTTAATTATATGCTTAAAACGTTTTGCTTTCACTATAAATTTATATTCGAACTACACAATTGACAAGAGCGGCAATAATGACTTTTTATAGATAAATTAAATATTTTTTTTTATAGTTCTTTATCAAATATTATGTATAATTGTCTCTGTCAAGTGTCAAGTTAATAAAGCGGGAAAGGTCTAAGTAATAGGTAATTTTGGTCTTTCCACAGCTGGCCTGCAATCAAATACTCTTGCAATCAAAATACTTAACAAATTTATATAATACCTTTGGATTTATATAAAATAAAACGTGTTTGCGTATTTATGTACGCACGTAAGAAGTTATACTTCTTTGGTGTAACAGAACAAAAATATCTAAAGATTTCATCCCGCATGTCATAACTCTCTGCTTGTAAAAGGAATGATAATAAAATAATTAAATTTGGCATATTACAATCATATATTTATAGAATATCATTTAAGGAAAGAATATAATATTATTAGATATCATTTGTCAGACAGTAACAACGGTTACCATAGCAACAAACAGTTAACAGCTAATTTAATTAAATTTTTTGGCTGTTGGTGTGCGCGCGCATCGTAAAAATTTTACCCTCATATTTATTTCTAAATGTCCCAAAAGAAGTATAACTTCAAAAATTGAAAAAGTTGTCTCTTTTTCACAAGACAGAGACGAAATATGTGGTTTACTAGAAGAAAGAAATATTTTTTTTTCGAAGCTAAAAATTATGTGCAAAGTATATTCGTTAATAATTGTAATAGGAATTGATTTCGTAAGGATTTTGTAAATAACGCAATGGAAGTAATACATTACCTATGTATTGATGATAAAGTCGATAGTTGCTTGGCACTTGTGTGTCCAATTTTGAACTGTCGCTTTAGTATGTGCATTATATAGATGCAGTGAGGATGTTTTATACGTAATGTTGTTGACAAATAAAGTATTTTGATCAGATTTGTTTGGTTTAATTTAACTAGCTTTTATCCTGTATTGCAACAATAAGAATAAGATAAATGTTGTACTCTTGAAAAAGCATGATCCAGAAAAAAACGCATTTTTTTTTCAATAAATGCAAACAGCGCCATCTATGAGTACACAAAGTAAATTTATTAATGACAAGCCAATGTTTTAATCGTCAGGAACAGGGATATATAAATTTATGTTAAATTTTTTATAATATGTAGTATCTTGAATTTTCTATTTTTTTCTTGTTAATGTTTTATAAACGATGCAAAGAATTCGTTTACGTGAACTTGCAGAACGTGTTTCGTTGAAAATTTTAAATTGCCAGTTTCATTGAGCAGCGCCATCTTTCGAGTGTAAGATGAATAGAATGAAATTTATGACTTTCTACTGTACAATAGATGGCGTTGTATAAAAATTAATTTTATTGTGTGTAACTAATTTTTTTATTAATTTAAGATAAATTTTATTTTTTTTCTTTACGTATTATATCTTAAAAAATCAAAACTTAATTCATAAAATTTGGGTATGTATATGGAAATATATTTTCTATTTACTACGAGATGGCGTTAGTAAAAAATATGTTGATTTTTAATCATTGACCATCTTTTGAAGGGCAATCGAAACTTAAAATGCATAATATGACACAATAAAAAAAAGTTAGATTTGTTGACAATATTTTTTCATCTATGTTTAAGAAAGTAAGTAATTAAAATTATTACTTTTATATGTAAGTTAATGTGATAAAAATACAAGAATTAATGCAAAAATTGATTAAAATCATACGGACCTTTTTAAATATAAAAGTTTTTTTTCTGGTTCTATATACTCGTATATACATATGGATTACATATTAAAATAGAAAATATTTTAATGAGTAGCAATTTAAATTATTACAATATTTTTCTTTGTTATCACATAAGTCTACTACTAGTTCAGAAAGAAAAAGCCTCATATTAATAAAATAATATTAATCTTAAATACACTTAACTAGATTTGTCTTTTACAAAAAAATATGCAAAATTTAGATATAAAACCATAAAACCAAAATCCAACCCTTAACGTAATTAAATGGTCAAATAAAAAAAAGCTGGCAACTGGGGAAGTTATCAAATGAAGATAATACGCCCTTGGGTTCCTACAAGGGTAATTATAGAGGTAAATTAGTCATTAGCAGTGCGCACCAACACTCGGAAGTGCTTCGGGGTTCTGTACTGTAATACGAATTTATTGTACACTTTCATCGTTTCAATCGCTATAGCTGTATACATTGACGCTTTTTTTATTCAACTTCAAAATACATACAGGTAAAAGACGTAACCCTCTTTTGGGCTTCGTCGCAGTCGGGTAAAAAGATCTCGTATCTTTGTCGATCGTTTAAGGAAGGAATAATTCTAGTTAGGTTTTTATTTGCAGGCAGATTTTACTTTGCATTTAACACCTGCAAATAACAAAATTGTAACTATATAGCAAATTTTGAATTTGGACTTAAATACATATTATAGAGATGTTTTTAAATTATAAGTTACAATGTTGTTCCTTACACTTCGACTTAATGACCTGTTGTGT